TCCTATTTTTATTTGCAAAGCTGCATGGCTCAAAACCCAATATCCAGCTACCAGATATAGGATATTCCTTTTTAGTACTCATCAGGTGCAGCTATCAATCAGAAATTTCTTATCAACATCATAAATTGTAATCTCTATGCATGTATGGCATCTTTCTGTCTACAAGAGATGATAGATTTATCATTTTAGATTGCAGGTCTTAATGCGACTAGTGAGACCAATTCTCTATATACAAATTCATTTTGATGCAATTCATGCTTAGAAAATGTATAAAGTTGAGTCACCTGATTTAAATTAAAAATCCATTCCTTGACTTACGGATTCTGCCTAATCCAACCCAAGTGTTGCATTTCAAAAGGAGCATTTTGCAATTTTTCAGACAGCTTCCCTTTTTGTGGGGTATAAAAGGATGGTACTTGGATTGCTAGGTGTTCATGTGGCAAAATGACCCCAAGATCTGATGGTTCTTTTATTCCTAGAACTGGAATGGAAGTTTCAGAATGCAAAAAAAAAAATTATTTAAACATTTGATGATTGGTACCAGGTACTAGTATTTAGTAATAGGTGTTATGAGATATTTAATTTAAAAGTTTTAACCATTTCAGCTGAAAGGTACAATATGTAAAAACAATTTTGTTAGGCACAGATCATTTTATGAGACTCATTTGATAATAGTTGCCAAGTCAGATACTCTGACCATTTTTCTAGTTTAAAATATATGATAATGGAAAAAAATGATATGAAGCAGGTTTTGTTGACTAAGAGTTTTCTTCTTGCTCATTTTACAATTTTTAATTTGTGTGATTTCAGTTGTAAAATACTATGAGCCCTATTAGCTATTCTTTATGGAACTGGAGAAAAAAGGCTCATTAACATTCTATAATACTTATCCCTAGACTCGGACCAAGCAATATGAAAGAAACAAATTTGAAATGTGCTCCTCAGCAGGGTAATCTCATATTTTAGTGCAAAATGCACGTACCGTATTTATTGGCGTATAACACACTTTTTCTCCCCGAAAATAGGGGGCGTGTTATACGCCGATATAATGCTTAGTTTTTTTTCCTGAAATTGCCTTCTTAAATTGAGGTGTGTGTTACACGCAGAGGCATGTTATACACCAACAATTATGGTTATTTAATACTCTAAATTAAAAACTCCCTATTTACTGGATGGAACAACATTAAAACACTCCAATAGTTAACAGAACATGCATTTATTGTTTTCCAATTAGTTTGTTGTATTTTCTTTGAGTTTAAGGGATTTTTAATTAAAAAAATAAAATAATCAGTTGATCGATAACTAATAACAGTTTCAGTTTGTTTATTGTCTGTTCAGTCAGTGTGTTGCCAAAAATTTCATCTTTTCCCAAAATCAAAATTCATACTATAAAAGTCAGCCAAGTATTAACTAAGGGTGTAAGTGTAACCTCAGCCCCAACCCCCCCCCCCCTTCCTCCCCCAACATTTTAATTCCTGGAACAAGGTAACATTTTTTCTAAAGTTTTATAATGATATAGGCCAGGCCTGCACAACATACGGCCCAGGGGCCGCATGCGGCCTGCCAACACCCACCTTGTGGCCCACGAGGTAATGAAATATTCTTTATTCTTATTATTTTCTTAATAGCTTTTCCCCTGTTCTATTATCTTTTGACCTGCACAAGTTTTTCATAAAGTATTACGGCCCGCCTAACATTTTGCGTTGTGCAGGCCTGATATAGGCTATAGGCCTACCTCCTGTGTTTTTTCTCATTTCTAATAGATTTCCTACTTTATATATTTATTGACAATCTTTGGCCAATGGCTGTGTAATAATGACACTAATGCTCATTGCGCTCCCTCCCCTTGAGTGTGTCCAGAATATATGGAGGGTCTCTTGAAGCTTTGAGGAGGTTTAGAAGTTGATATCCGACCAAAGCAGCGAAGGGTGCCCAGACATCCTTACACATGACAAGTAGGGGTGTGCCGGACCCCGATCCGGAATCCGGTTCCGCCGGATTTTGCACTATCCGGTGAAATCCGGTTCCGCCGGATTTACATGTATCCGGAACAACCGGATTCCGGAATCCGGAATATACCGGATTTCGGAATTTGCCAGATTTTGTGACTCACCGGATCATAATCTGAAATAAAAGTAATTCTCTTTCCCGAATTCCACACGATCACGATACATTAATCGATTGTTTCGAGCGTTGAGCTTGTTTAATGTTTAATATTCCGTACATACCAGAGGCTAGAGTCAGCACCGCTAATAGTGGCCAATAGTGTAGGGACTTTGATAAGAAAATTTAAACTTTTTGTAAAAATAAACCAATGGCATAGTTGAAAAGATGTAATTTTTTAAAGAATTATAACACCAAAATCATATTTTTAGCTGTTGTAGTTTTAAAGTTATGAATTTTTAAAGTACGACTTGGTTTGTCATTTTTTAACATGGACTGCATCTCCACATTCTGTGATCTCATTCCGCCAATCCCGTCATGCGCAATGACTATATAGTTTATATAAGGCAACGCATTCCCTGCCTTATCACTAAAATACTGTTTAGACTTAGTTTAAACTTTCAACTTTGGCACATGAATAATTAATTAAAGCTTTCCCTGACCAATGGTTTAATAGTTTTTGCACACGGCAAACTCTTATGAATGAAACTCTGAGGTAGTACTACGATACAGTTATGCAAGTGGCTGTGAATGGTTGCCAATGACAACGTGTTGCACACGGTAAATTCTGATCATTTATAATATGGATTCTACCGGGTTGTTAAAGCTCAAATTAAAACATTCCAGTTTAAATGTCTTTAAATGCATTCTGAAACACAAGTTATCAATTATTTTGATGTAAATAGTGATAATAAATTAATATTTCCTAAGTATCGTCAACTTCCGCCATTAAAAAGGGGGGCGTGGCCAACCCCATGGCGAAATTAGGTTGAGCGAGCTGCATAACCTGCTGCGAACGCGTAGAAACATGGCGTCTCTCGTAAGACACTTATCCAAATGGAACGGAACTCAAATATATATCGAAAGTACTAATTTAATAATAAATAGACACACACATCGGAAAATTAAAAACTCGGATTTTTTGGCGCCGATTGCGAATTCCCATACACAAAAAGTAGTAGTCCACCTTGACTTACCGAAGTATCTACCAATAGTACCAAAATCCGGAATCCGGGAGAAACCGGAATCCGGATCCGGCGGATTTCGCATAAGAAAATCCGGATCCGGATCCGGTTGGAAAAAACGGATCCGGCACACCCCTAATGACAAGTGAACTCGTCCCTCTCCCCCATAGAGAGCGACGAGGCCATTACAGGCAATTCCGGCTCATACCAACAAGAAACCAGAATAGGAATTGCTCATTCCTGCCCAAGACAATCTGGGACTGGAACAAGCTTTCAAAAGAAACAGTTGAGGGGACAACACTAGACACATTTGCGTCAATTGCCTCATTCCAACCCCTATTGCATGATTCTTTCACAAAGTAGCACTTGTAATCATTGAAATATCCTCATCAGCACCAGGCACAGAAACATTGCAAATCCCCTCTACAAGCATAGGAGCCAAAATGATCAATAAATTGATCGTGGGCCCTTAATATATAGAAGAAGAAGAAGAACCCACTGACAAATGAACACAGAAAATTGAGTGCACAGACAAGTGAACATACAGACAACTATTTTCCTTGCATACCACACAATGGCTATATGAATGACTAAAGTCAAAAGATGCATGAATGGTACAATTTGTTTAATAATCATTCATTGTATTCGAACAAAAAGATAACATTTTACTTTTAAAATCATTTAAATAATGATATAAGTTTAAGTTAATTATTTATAAATAAGTTGAAAAAAACCTCTCTGAAAACTAATATTTATACCTGTAATATATAATATTTGCATTGAATTTATTCCGCAATACTCTACTATACTATTACTTAAGTTCTGAGTATAAGTAAATAAGTTACTCTTCAGCAGCACATGAATTTTTCTTTTTAAATCAGGGACACGCCCCCCTTAGAAATAGCAACATCGTTATCCTCTAAAATCTCACCATCACTTACTTGAG